GTCACTATTACACTGTTATTTTATACAAAATAGTCAACTGAATGCTTTTAAAGGGAAATTATAACAAAAAAAATGGTTTCCTTGAAATGTTGTTGAGGTCAATTAGAAAGAACTTATTCACTTCTCTATGTCTTAAATTAATTGTAGTGAACCCTTTAAGAAGATTTTAAACAAAGATATGCATCTAAAATTAAGTAATGGTCTAGAACAAACAGCAAGCAGATGTTGTAATGAGCAGGTTGCACTGATTATTTCCTGAGCTGAGAAGGAATGATGAGAAAGAAGCATTACATGGACAAGTTTTATAAAAAAAATTTAAACCCATAAATCTTTACTAGAAAGTCAAGAGGTGAAAATCAACACCTGTCAACAGTATTCTGAAAGGATTTGTACAAGAAACAATATCTTTTTCATGGAAAAAAAATTCATTTTCTCAAATGAACATATTATGAATACATTAGAAATTAATTCAAAATGATGAACTAGCAAAATCTATGGCAAAATATTATAAAGAAATTTAAAAGATGGATAGAAGAGAGGATACCAAAGATAAGCAGGACCAGAAAATTAATAAAAAATAGTCCATCAAGCAAAAAGGCAAAGACATATAAAGCTGAGGAAAGGTTATTGAGTTAACCATTTCTTCAAAATAGTTATGTGACTTTTTGGTTGATTGGTTGGTTTTAATCAACAACAACATGATTGCGGATTCCTTACGTACTTCGTACCAATCTGCCAGAAGAAGACAGAGTGTGTAGGGGGAAATGTTAAAGTGCAACAGGAAGATGGTGAACTAAGCATTGTGTAAGCTATGTCACTCTCATGTCTGTCACCTTTTTTAAGCATGGAAGACTCAAGTTCACAGAGGAAAACAGTAACTACCTGGAAAAACTAATATGCAAAAGCAATTAATTGTTGCTTACAAAACAAAACAAAACAAAATTATCAATTGCGCTTATCTATTATATAATTTTTAGGAATTTTCATCATGGTGTTTTAGCAGCACAATATTTGTAGAAATAAAATTAAGAGTCTAATGTGGGAATTCCATAGAAACGAAGCTCTAGGTCTGCATGCACATTTATTCCAAATAATTATTTTTGCTTTGTCCAGGAACAGACATTATCGATCTGAGAGCAATTCTGAGTCACAATGATTCTGAGTTATATATGCAGCATCAAGAATCCTTCCATAGAGAATGGTTTGGTATTAACTTCTCAGAAAATAAAGACATTTTTAAAATGCTTACAAAAACATAAAACATCCACAGAGTATGTGATTCATGTTAACTGATTTTAAGAGGGAAAACACAGGAAAAATGCATCATACATTTATGTTCATTATAAAATTATTTTGGATTTCCAATTGTGTTAACTGAAATAAGTTGGAACATTCATTAATCTTCACTTGTTTACTTTGCTTGCTTTGTTTACTTTGATTTTATTAGTATTTATTTATTTGATTTTATTAGTATTACTTTGATTTATAGTAATGTATATTCTTCACATGAGGAGCCTGTATCATTCCAGGAATATGAATTTTTCTGCTAACATTTTTCTATATATTCATATCCCTGACTTAAAAAATAAATAGTAATTGTATTTCAAGGGTTTATTTCTCTGTTGATATTAGTCACTGAATGATGGAACAAAATGGAAAGAAGTTAACTAGAAGTACTTACCTTTAAGCATGGAAAATAATGAGGCACCAAAACTTCTTGCTTAATCTGTTATAACTGAATGGGATCCAGCCTATTTTAATTCTTGGAGTAACTCACATTAAACAAATATTTTGTCCAAGCAACAAAAATGGTTTCAACATAGCACGTTATTCAGCTGTATGAGGATTGGAAAGAACTTGCAGCATCTTCATCACAGCTGGAATTATGAAGGGAAAACTGTCTTTTGTGTTAGAATTGCTAGTGAGGAGAGTATGCAACCATGTCTTATCACTATATACCCACCACAGGTACTTTAGAAACGCTGTGGTAAATAATTTTCCCATTGCATGTTTTTTTTCCAGTCTCCTGATACTTCTTTCATTTGTAAAGAAGATTCCTCTCCTCTGTCCTCTTCCAGCCATCAAACAAAGCTTACATGTACAAGGCTTCAACATGACAAAACTGTTGGTCCAATTTTTCTACAGCTGACGGTAAAATACATTACTGTCACTCTTTCCTCTGTCCACTATTCCAGTATTCTCCTCCATCCTCCTACTGAACACAACTGATCCAAATCATCTCTTTGAGATGATTCTGCATTAATTTAATAACCATATCCAAGACTCAGATGAGTCAAAATAATTTCCTTTGGAAAAACTAGTCTGAGGCAATGCAAGAATACTGATTTAGAAATTTAAAAAAGACATAATTGAAAATAATGTGGAATAATATCCTATGCTATTGACAAGACCAAGCTGAAGGGTCAAAGAATTAGTAAGAGCTCTGGAAAATGTACTAGTGTCTTATTTTTTAAGATTTTCTGCACCATAAAAATCTTGGGGGGAAAAAAAACAAACAAAAGAAAAATAACCTAATATGAGCATCATTTATTTATCTTGCACTGTTTAGGATGTTCCAGGTGAAACAAGTATTCATGCTGGGATTTGCAGGAGGTAATTTAACTTCAGTATATGACTGAGAGGATTTCATTGCCTATCTTCCACTATTGCAATGCTGACTTTTATTACCAGCCTCATGGAAATACTTTTCAACAACACTTTTTCTCTCTTTCAATTGCCTTTCTGCCTCACTTCTCCTGCATTTTTATTGCCCTCATCTATCCAAGTTATGCCATCAGCAACTACAATAGTTTTTCTAGGAAAAAACCCCATGTATTTCTAGTACATGGATCAACATCTGTTTGTTTGTTATCATTGTCTGCAAATAGATTAATTTCACCAGGGTCACTGAATTTCAGAGTTTCTTGGTAAAACTTTTGTAAACAATTGCAGCTAGAAATAGGGATTCAAGATAGCTAAAAGGGGAGCAATATTGTGAGGGGTGTTTCTTCCTGCTTTATTGCATTCTTTCTGTCATCTACTGCTGCTGCCATTTTCAAAAGAATTGTAAAAAAATGACACAACACCGGCAGATAAAATTCAAAAGGAGCACTGCACCTTAGCATTTCTCTTCATAGACTGTGTAAGGACAGAATCTTCTCAGAAGTACAGCTCTTATTATAGAAACACCAAATACAAAGGGTATGTACAGGAAAGGGTTAACAAAAACTCATAGGCAGGATCTTAACTACACTCTACATCAAACAGGACCAAGCTCCATTTAAAAAAGAATAGCTGAAATGGCACAATGCAATCCAACAGCTGCCATGAATCTTGCCCAATCCTTTATGAATAAAAAATAATTTCCAAAATTCTCCAAAAGAAAGAACTTTTACACACTGACATACCAGTGAAAAGCTTGAATTTTCTGGGTACTGGAATGCCAGTTCTTTTTCTAGGACTTGAAATATTCTATGTAATATAAAATTGCACCTCATTCATGCTGCTCTTGACATCGTTCTGAAAAGAAAGGCACTCACAACAGAATTTATGCTTTGAATGGAGAAAGAAAATAGTGCAGTAAAAAGACTTTTCACTGCTGGAGACTGACCATAGTACTCTGAACTCTACTGACATAGTAGTTTACAGTAAATTTGGATGTATCCTACTATGTGAGAGAAAATGAAGACATAGGAAACACATATGGAGACTTGAGCACTATAATCAAGATTTTATTTGAATTACTTTCCTGGAGATTTCAGATAGGTTAAACCACAGCTGCAGGAAATTTAACGTATTTTGTGTGAAATGAGTCTAGATGACTGATTCAAATGACAAAAGATCATTCCATAAGCAAAGAATCATTCCTTAATTTTAAAGATGTAAAGGAAAAGCAAGCTTTGAGATTTAACAATAAATATTCATAAATTTAATCAGATAAAGAGCCAGCTAATCTGCGCGCTTGTTATAATTAATTTCAATCATGTTATCTGGTTTTATATGGATAATATATATAAGGATCAATATTTTCCTGAAGAACTGCATTCCTTCTCAGGAATTCAGTACTTAGAACTGTTACAAAATCTTTTTGTTCCTTCATCAGTCCAAAGAGACAAATAGAAGGGTTCTAATTAAGCACCTTGTAAGAACCGAGAAACCTGTTTAGAATCCCAGAGATCTGGAAATTTAGACAATCTGATTAACCACCTGCAATAGGACTCCTGCTCCTTGCAAGTCGTGTTAATACAATGCTGAGATCCACTGTTCTCAATGTTTCAAATGTCTTTAGGAGGCTCACAGGGCACTGGAAACCTGAGCACACCAAATCAAGTTTGCATTTGTGTTAAACTGTGCAAATATATTTTTATTGGAGGAGGTCTATAGTCTCAATGAATACACTCGCATAACATTCGTCCGGTTCACTTGAGAGTACGGATCTAGATTTACTAGACAGCAGAAAGTGAAAATCTGCTGTTTAATTTTGAGAATTCATGACTATTACAAACTTCTTTTCACTTTTATACTGTCTTCAAACTCTTCCAATGTTAACAAGGACAATCCCAATTCACAATTGACAATATAAGAGCAAAATATTTCTTTGAATACAGAAGCATTATGTAAACTATATCATATTTACCTTACGTGAGAAGAAAATTAGCTTTCAGGAAGAAAATGTTCAAGTTGGACTAAATAAACTCCTGAGAGTTTTCCTGTGCTAAAATATATTAATTTCCAGTTTTTAATAATCAAGGTGAACTTACAAATTATTACTTTCAATTTTCAATCTGTCAAAACATGCTCATTGACTGGTATTACACAGTCATTGACAGAAAAATATTGATGTGATGATGAAGCTTTCAGAAGTCTTCATTGTATTAAATGTACTCAGATCCTTAGTCATGGAAGACATCAATTGAATGAAATTATTAAACATACAAATAATTCAAAATCTTTTTATACTTATTTTACAGATTAAATGACTTAAATTGTTCACTACTTACCCCTGTTCTTTGAACTTCCAAGAAAATTGCTCTTTGGAATGATTTCTCCCACACTGCCAATTCACTGCCCAGCTCTACGTTGAAATAGTGGCTCTTGCCATGTCCAACCATGACACTGAAACAATACGGCCTCTGGTCTTCAAGATCAAAGTCCTGGTGAATACCTAAATACAAGTTTGCTTGTAGCCAGCAATCATCAGCAAGCCAGAGCTGAAAGATATGTTTCAGTATGTGATTCTTCATCTGGCAAAACCAAACAATTGAAGCAACACTGTCTTCTGTAAGTGATGGGTACTTGGATATACTAAGCCATTATGTCAACAATTGTGTTGAAGAAATGTTCTAGGAGTTAAATAATTATGTCAAAGACAGCTTCTCTCTTTGCTTCTATGTCAAAGACAGCTTCTCTCTTTGCTTCTTATTTGCTTTATTCCCTATCTTTTAATCCATGCTACTCCTGCAGTTCCAAAGTACTGTCAAAATTACCTAAGGAATACATCTATAATTTAAAGGGAGTTTGTACAAATACATTGCTTACAGTGAAAAAGAAGGAAACCCCTGAATGTTTCAATACATTCCAGGAGCTGTATACCAGCTCTACAGGAGACTATAATTACTCCATTCTACTTGGATTCCAATATGTGAAACCCCAAGGAATGCAGTAATTTATCAAGCACCCCAGGGCTAATTCTAGAAATGACAAAAGGGGAATGTCCTCCAATAGCTGTCAACACTGTTCTGTAACAACAAGGAGAGTGAAACAAGATCCTGCCATCACCTTCAAGATAAAGCAGAGAAAATGTACATTAAACTTTCATAATAAAAAAATATACCTGCAATACAATGTTTTGTAAATGTAAACAAATTAATACAAGAAACTTCTCTAATATTTCAAGACTTCATTGATTAACATAAATATAGAGGAAAATAAAACTAAATTAAAAAGCTACAACTTATACATCGAAGTACTTTCACAGCTTGAATTTCCAAATTACACATATCTTTACTTTTCTGTTTTTCAGATAGAATTCTTCCCTATCCCCATTTCTCTCTGATATCATGGGGCAGAAAAGACTGAAACCCCAAAATAATTAGCAATGATTCATGGGGCATCTAGGGAGCACTACATATTGCCACAAGGGTACAAAGCACTGTGTTGTCAAAATTGGCCCTGCTACTACCTGAGGAGAAAACAGACTTGATGAAGCTCTGTTATTTTACAACACTTCTTTGCACTGTTGAAAAGGAAGTTGAACAAAATTCCTGCATATATTCTGGTGTTAAGCAGCTATGGAGTGACAGATAATTCATGTGCTTCAAGACTCAGTGCTGCATATCCTGGCTTTTAGACCACATTAGCATTTTTTTAAAATTTTCATGTGAAAATACCAGACAATACAAGAAAATAAAATGTTCTTAAGACAAATGACTTTTAAAAATGTACAGGACCACAGTAAGAGTTTGAATTATGAGGCAAGCTATAAGAATAAACACATGCAATGCAAGACATTACATTTCAAATAATCTGGCTGTTACCACCAAATGAACAGAAATATGCAAAGGCATATTATATATATGAATTTTAATCCACATATTTGTGTATTTATATTTATGTATACATACATCCAAATCTAAAATATATCAAACATTCTGTTTTAAAATTTAAGTTCCATATTGGATTGATATTTTCCCTGTTTAGCTCTTGCATCATAATAAACATAGATGAAAAGTTTACAATCAGGTGTGTAACAACAACACTTCTCCTTAAAATCCATATTTGATGGGAAGATACAAAACACACTCTCCCATAGTTTTGCACTCGTTCTAACCAGCATTTCTGAAAATTCTTAAGAACCCCCTCCCCAAATGGCAGCTTTTACAACATAAGCCTGTCATATCTAATGCAGAAACCTTAATCTCTTACAATTTTTTGGATTTGTTCTGTTTGCCTCATTGTCATTTATACCGAAGAATCAACAGAAAAGAGGTTAAGGAGTTCAATTCGAGCTTTTGCACTTTAGCTTACGTATTCATGAAGACTGGCAATTAAGCATTCATTTATTAAAATGTCAAGAACATTAAAGAGTTGAACCGTGAGTAGTTTATTTCACAACTTCTTTTTCTTAATGAAAAAGTATTGCAGAAGCTGCAGAATCCTTGAAATTACCATAATATTCCAGGAACAACTGAGTTTTAGCACTAACTTATAGGAGAAAAACCAAAACCCAAGCCACAGGAATAGCTTCCCAAAAGGCTTAATGTCTATATATTTCATTGGTGCCTGGCTTATTTATGAGCCAAAAGTAAAATTATAAAAAATATGAAAGAGAATAAATAAATGATCTGTGACAGAACATCTACTTTTTGTTGGTGTGTTAGTGATGGGAAGGACCTGAATTTGCCCATATGTTCCAAGCTGGAGACATGGTCACACAAAATAATGCCATGACTACAAGAATATGGCTCTCCTCCTGTGCCTCTGGAGCTGAACTCTAGTCCTGAACTCCAGGACTACTGTTTTCCTGGCATGGCACTGCCAAAACACTTCCTTCCCATGTCCTGAATAATCTGCATCAGAAAAAACCCCAACAAATAAAAAACCCCTAGAACACACACAAAAAAAAATAACCTACACACCTCAAACCAAAGCAAACCAAACAACCCCCAAAAAGACCAAATCAAAAACCTTAAGCACTTTTGCTTCAGTGCAGGATCTGTTACAGGTAACAGCAACAACCTGCCTTTTCCACCACATCAGTGTGTGGTCAAAGAGAAACAGCAGAGAAGTAAAGCAGCTGGTGAGAACTAAAGATGAGCTTTAATTTTTCACTGAAATACTATTTTATCTGAAAAGATAGTTTTTTTTGTCTGAAAATATCCTTCTCCTCGACAAATGGGCTCTCACAGTAGCCTTATCTCAACTGCAAAGGTTTTGTTTTTGTTGGAGAACAAAATTAATCTATCTGATGCAATTAATTTGACAATATATTCCATAAACCAATTATTTACATAAAGTGCTAATATTTTGATGCAAATCTTTAATTGGAACAAGCTAGACAGAAAACACGACTTTTTCTACTTGGGGGAAGAAAATTAATTCTATGGGAAACAAACCCAACGTGTTTCCTTTTATAAAGAAAAACACACTACAATACTTGATGCAACAATCAATACATATGATAAAACGACATAATTTTATATTTTTAATTTCTATAATGAAAATATCTTTATATGGATCAAGAATTACAGCAAGAGCATTTTTCATCATGTTTGCTTGAAAATCTGACCCACTAAGAAAAAACTAATATCATTATGCTTAACAGTGTGTCTCACTGATACTTCATACTGAAGTATCATACTCAGCTCTAATACCAAAAACTTTCTTCAATAAGAAAACATGTCAGTAACTCGTTCACTTGCAGCTTACCCCATTTTCCATATTTTCTTACACTTGCACAGCTAATGCCCTAGCAATTGCAAATAGCTTTTTATAACAACAGATGAACTATTTGAATACTAGTGATTCCTAGTTAAGATTAATTTGAGCTTATCATCAACAGGAAAAGGTTAACTTCACTAAATAAAATCACTGGAACCATTGGGAAACGTACCTTGTGAATTTTAAATAGAACCTCACAGAGGTTATAGATTTTTTCAGCTCGTACCCAATCTAGAGTGCTCACCTATAATATAAAAAAATAATTATTAACACATTTTTTATTTGAAAATCATGTTCAGATGAAAAAAAACTGAAAAGATTTCACCCATCATTATTCAACTGGATCTTTTAAATACAGGCACATCACTACATTTAGTATCCAGCATTTAGAAAGGACTGCCAAATAGTATTAAATTTTTACAGAAACAGGAATTAAAAGATGTTAAATAATTTACTTTTTCTTTTCCTAGGATGATGGAAATGTTTTTGTAATCTCTGGGGTTAGTTACATAAGCAATTTTGTTTCTCAAGATGCTAACACAGAGAACTCAGTCTCAAACATAACCATTCAGCTTCATGTCTAAATATGAAAGAAATCTTACAATCAATAGATCAAGATGTATTCCAAAATTCAGTTTTGAATTTACATGCACTAGGGAGGCAATAACTCAATATTTATTCTAAAACTAGAAAAGGACTATGTGACTGCAATATTTAAAATCAAGGAAAATATCAACTGCATGCTCAACAATATGAAAACACCTATATTTTCTTTTCTTTTGATTTCGTTACCTAATCCTGTTGACATGACAGGCTGTTAAAATCTAAATAGCAAGAATGACTGAAGATTTTACTAAAATTCTACTTAATGATATGATGTGATAATCTGATTTCTCTTAAAAACAGTACCCAGCCTACATTGTTCAAGAAAAAAGAAAAAAAGAAAAAAAGAACTCTCACATAGGAAAACTTCAATGGGAATATGTATCATTTTTGCTTATATGTTTTAGTGCAAAATCCTAGCTCTTGGGGAATGCACAGGAGTGGCTGCATAGACAGATGAAGGATTTGACTAGGTTGCACCTCAGGCTTTTGGTATATGGAAATAAGTATTTTGGTAACTTTAATAGTAACTTGAATAATTTAAAATTCTAGGGCTTATACAGCTTTGTCCTATTCCCACATCCCAACCAAAAGGAAAAAAGCAGAAAGAATAAATTAAAATAATTAACATAAAGAAAAACTTTTCTGTCAAACATTTTCAATCACAGATTCTTTTTCTCTGTGTTCACAGTAGCACATAATTCACCTTTAAAAAATTTAGTATTTCTCCTGATGATTTGCATGGAGATATCAACATGTTTTGGTTCTTTTAGAATTTATTTAATGTTTAATTTTCAAGTGTCTTAAAATTCTAAGCTGTTAAACAGAATTGTAATAACTTGATGAGATTACAAACCAGTACAACACTTACAGGACTCTAATGGGACTCCTGTTAGTTATGAAATGTAACTTCAGGGTCCTTTGGAGGAGTAATGTGAACCTGGTGTTAGTTTCCTTCTAATCTTATAATCTGAATTAATTCTTAATAATCTAATTATTAAGAACTAAATCTAATAATCTAATCTTCTCCCAACTTCTCTCAAGTTTAGATAGTTTTTTTGGATGATTAAATTTAGATATTATGAATCACTGACTGAAATGGGACTGAAGAACTCTAGAAATTCTAGCACCACATCTTTTCAGGATATAGAGGGACTCACATTCTAGGATTCTCCATTTCATCATTTCTATATCTTAACAATCAAATGGCAAACATGACTTGAACACAATACATCCACTAGAATATATAAAACAGATTACGCACTTTATTTTACTATGAGAAATGTTTCAAAAATTAAAGCTCAAAACATTACATACAGGTAATTTTAAAGCTACATGATAAAAGCACATAGTACTACTTAAACATTTTCAAATTTAAATCTGATGTCAGCTGGTTTAGAAAAGAAATGTAAAGAAATTCTAGGTACTAACTTGTCCTCCCATCCCTTTATAAAAAGGTAGCAACTTTTAAAGACATACCTTTCTATTTTTTAGGTTTCCATTTCTACTTATCTTCTTGTAAGTCCATTCAATTTTTTATTTGAGTTTTGCAATTTAATTATTATACAAATAAGAAATAACCAAAGTTTCGAAACAATTGAAACAAAGGGCTTATAAAGTTAATTCATAAAGAAATGTACATTTTAACAGGCTCACAATATAGTAAGCACTGCATGTCTTTGATTAATTTTATGTCCAGGGAAATACTTTGCACTTTGATGGCTGTTTTGAAAAGAAAATAATTAAATAATACATGATTTGGCCCATTACTGTTGATACTCCAAAGGGATATTCATGCTTCTTCAAAATAAGGTTTAGAGTAGAATGGAGGCTAGTTCATTATTTGGTCTAGAATTTTTCAAAGGGAAAGGATATTTTCCATCTCAGTTAACAGCAGGAGAACCCTTTTTTGCTCTAAGTGGCTAGACATAGAAGCATAAGCACTGATTCATTTGCTGTTTATGCCACTGGCTTTGGTGACATAGGCTATGACCTGAAACCTGTTGAGATATGAATGGACTTTCATTTGCTCATATCATTTGTTTTGATTCCTGAAGATTAATTTTAACTGTTGGGGATCTTTGCACTATAAATGATGGATGAAGGTGACACTGCTATGCCATTAAATTTACTCTGAGTACTTCAGATTTCTTCCCATTATTCCACACATCTCTTTCATCTTTTGATGCTGTGTAACCTCATATGACTTTTCCAGCAGAGGCAGGCAGTGATAATGACAACTGCTGTCACCTATATAAGCCAAGGTCTTCTTTACCTGTGTCTGTCAGAGAAAGGTTACCATACTTAGAGTGTGAAACAGTCTGAATACCACTGTGTGCAAGGTGCTCAGAACATAAAAAACATGTTGAGAGGAATTTTAAGGAGGCAAAATAAACATATTGCAAAGGAATACTAGAATCTAAACAGACAGCTGACATTATTTATAGTTTTATCAGCACTATCATAGCATGTCGAAGTTTAAAATGTTACTGTTACAGACTGCTTTACTTTTAAAACCCCACAAATAACCATACAGTCCTAGTCAAGAAGAAAACCTGGAAATAATCAGGAAAGTTCATGAAAATTGCGATATCCTTCATTTGATTTAAAGAATGCTCCAGTTTATTGCAGGTTATCCATCATCACACATGTAATAACTGGGTAACAAGTACCTAAGAAAAATGAGATACCCAAGTATATTTCTTAGTCAATAAAGTAGTTTTTCCTCATTATTTCCCCTTGGAATTGTTCTTGCAGGTATTCTATAAATTGCAATTTCTTGGCATGACAGTGTTATTATTTTTTATGAAGCATTTGACAAAACATTTCAAACAGCTCCATTCAGAATAGATGACTCAATGAGACATGCTTGCATTCATATGAATTTAGTTCAGACAGTTTCAGGAATAGCGTCAAACTGCATGAGAGTTTCAATTAGCATTCAGTAAGTTTCTACTTTAATTTGTGTTCATCTACTATATGAATTTATGACCAAGAGGAGCTGAATGTTGTTATCTACATTATTGGCAGGCCACCTCCTTAGCTAACCCAATGTAGTAATTGGTTCTGTAGACATTTAGCTACATTAATCCTTTCAGGAACATTGCAAAGCTAAGACATTTGTAAACTCACAGGTAAACACTGAGCTGATCAGAAAGATAATAAAACCAAACAGGGTTACAAAAAACAGAAATCTGAAAGTACAATTCTAAGTCTCTCATGAGAGACTAAAATAGGTATATAGAGTTACAAAAGTTCCAAGTGTTGCAGAAATACTTTTTACTTTAGCATGAGTTTCTGCAATTTCCTCATGGTTTAAAAACAGGCGTTACAGTGGAGGTCTGAAAATAAACAAACTGAAAAAACCCTAGCTTTACATAGACCAGGTGATCTTATCATCAGTTCAAAATTAAATTCCAAATATTTTTACCTTTAAATATGTGAGTTAATAATTGGCTTTTCTTTAAAAAGTTATTATTTAACATAGAGATTAAACAATGAAGTTAAATTCATTTTGACACACTGAGTAAACAATTAGCTCATAAAATTACTCTCTGTAAGAGAACTCTGGAATTATAAAATAGGTGTTGGAGTTCTGGATGCTGAGAATTTTAGACTTTCTGTGCTGACAGACTCTGACTCCCAAGAGAGCACTGCATTTGACCTGAGGCTGTGGAGAAGGCTTCCAAAACTGATTGATAGCACTGAGTTTATGGGTGTGTAGTTTGATTAGAAGTGTGTAACATCACAGGGTGTAAAACTTAAGAGTTTAAGGTTTTAGAATATAGTAATATATACAGAGAAAGATGGAGGTTTTAGGGCAGAGGCTGGTCCTTCTACTTTACCTTCTTCCTTCTTCTATATGAGTTTGGGTGGTATTTTGTAATTGGACAGAGAAGTCTGCATTGCGGACTTTGAGTGATTGGTTATTGGGTTAAAAATTAAGATAATTTAGGTGCCATTTCTTTAATTGGATAGGTTAGCCTTAAAAGACCTTGTAAGAAATGATAGTTAGCCATTTTGCACCTTGTTAGTGAAATACTGCAGAACTCACTGCCTGTGAGACTGTAACATAGATAAGAAAAAATAAACACCTAAGTCTGAACACAAAATATAATCTCAAGTGTCTTCAATCCTGACCTCAACAGAGGCAGAGAAAAGAAGCCAAGAACAGGCAATAGGCATAAAAGACTTTCATGCCTGCTCAGAGATCACCATTAAATAAAGAAATATGGCGTGAATGTAAAAGAGAATCATACTTCAAAAATCACTGAAATCAAATTAACATAACATACTCTTGGACTTTCTCTGAACACAGACTCTGATTCTAGAAGTCTCCAGAGCCCCCCAAAATATTAAAAATATTTGAATAAATGTAAAGAAAAAAAAATTGAAGTGCTGATAATATTTATTACTGGAATACAGCAAAGGCTGTATTATCTGAGAATCCAGATAATCATCCAACCTGCCTAGAAGTACTAAAAAGGTCTAAGGAGAAGATGAAATACTTATAGGTAAAGAGTAATTAATTTCACTCATCTTTTCGCTCCTTAATGGAAAAAAAACAAACACAAACCAAAAAAACCAAGAAAACCAAGAAATTTTTTTTAAAAAATTATTTTTAGTATTTAGAACTTACATGACAGCATTAAAAGTCCTGCTTGTATATTTAAAATTACACAAGAATAATTTCTATTGGTTCAGCAGTGTTTTTCAGATATTCAGTTTTTAGAAATGGATCACATTTCTAATATAGCAGTGTGTAAATGAAATCTGTAAATTTCTTAAATACAATCAGATAAGCCACTTCAGGGATGCAAAAGGACCCTTATCTGTTAATCACATGATCCTTGATATTTACTACTGCGATGAAGCCTCGACATTTCTGGAATCACCACCTGAGATATTGTAGCAATAGCATATAAATAGAATATTACTTGCCATAGTGATTTATTTCATAGTAAAGTATCCATTATTTTCCACAATTTTCTTTATTTTTGCTCATATATAACTATGTTTTCCATTCTTATGAAAATGAGCAGCTGTATTTACAATCATGCCATCTTTTACACACAATGAAATAGAAAAAAAGTGGAAATTGTACTACATCCTTTTACAAGCAGTTGTAAAATTATGGATAAAGATAAGTTTAGAATTTATAGGTCATCTGCTCTGTGCACACTATATTGATACACTGATATGCAACTGATTTAGAATATAAATAGCAATAGCAACATCTCTGAAATAAAATGTGTTAAATTTGTATCTTCTAGAGATCAAGTAAGTTGAAACATTTGTATTTTTGTGATTGAACAGTCTTTCTTTTTTAATTTTTTTCCTGCTTAAAATAGTAAAAAAAAACCAACCTCCATAGGAGCAACAGTAAGAGGAGCAGCATTGAATGTCTCTAAAAGAAGTGAAAGAGCTCTATTCACAGTTTTGTGGGGGTACTTGTGTTTCCAGCTACAGAGCTGGGACACGTGGCACAGAACCAGTGCCATGGGAGTTGTCCAGGGTCTGTCAGGGCAGGATCCCTGCCAGGCAGGTCCCAGTTCATGGTCCTGCTATGGATTAACCTTGTCACACAGCCAAATACCCACACAGCCTCTCACTAACTCCCCAGTCCCCTGCTATGGGATGGGAGAGACAATAGGAAGAGCGAAATCAAGAAAATGCATGGGGCAAGAAGACAGCAGTTTAATAAGTGATGGAAAGGGGAAGAAGTCAATTCATGCAAAGACAATCGCACACTGCTCACCCCAAGTAGAGCAACGCCTAGCCATTCTCCAATCAAAGGCTACTTTTGAAGATCACATCCTCATTTTTTATTGCTCAGCATGATGTTTCATGGTACAGGATATCCCTTTTGCTCTATGTAAATCAGCTGTCCTGGCTCTGTCCCCCCCAGGCGGTTTGCTGGGTGAGCAGAGAGAATGGAAAGGCTGCACCAGCCCTGCTCAGCATCAGCCCAAACAGGGCTGTGTTAGCTCTGCTTGAGCCCCAGGAAGAAACCACTGCCACACGGGCTGCTCTGAAGCGGTGGCCTCCCTCCCAGCAGGGCCCAGGCAGGAGCAGGGCAGCCATGGGCACTGGGCAGCCATGGGGACAGGGCCAGCCCCAGCTCAGACACCAGCCGTGTCCCTGGGAGCAGTGACAGGCTGAGGCTGCGCTGGACATGGGCCCCTGGGTGGCCCTGGCTTGTGGGACCATGGCTGGGCAGGGCAGGGCTGTGGGGCCCGAGACTGGCTCTGCTGCACTGCAGGGAAGGACATCAACAAAAGCCAGGGCTGGAGGTGGCCTCAGGAGAATGATAATCAGCTTCAAAGTGTGGCTTTAGATCCAGGTTTGAAGTCTCCAGATAGGAGGTTGCTGGAAACTGTGAATTTGGTCTTTAGTTTTTGGGGGGGTTTCCCTTGATGAGAGACATTTGGGGAATGTTAAAAGAGCAAGAAAACCGGTCAACAAGTTTTATGATTTATAGACTCTTTCACTCTTTCACATTTACTGGTGCATCATAGTATTGAGGTGGCACAACACATTGATCAAAGGGATCCCCTTGGTTCATTTTTTGAAAGTCAAGGATCCTACAAGAAAAATTTGTAAAAGGATAATAGATTCTATCAAGTAATTTCTACTACCAGTCATCCCCACTTGCCTGTTCTTAGTATATTGCTGAAAATGGAAAATGAAGTAGTTTATCCCAAATTAGTACCATATATATGTACAATTTTAATTATATCAAAAATGTGTCTTAGAAACAGGCCTGAAGACAATAATTTAACTTTAGAGAGGAATATAATTCATTTGGTGTGTTATTTATTTGTTTAATATTTCTGGATACTACATTTTAATTAAACTGTAGTAATTGTATCAAATTTTAGTTCCTTGGCTTAACATATGAAACCCCCAATTTTCAGAGGGGGAATCCCCCTGCTTTTCCCACACTGAGAACAAATGAGTGTTGTCTCATTTAAAAAAGAATACTATTGGCCATTTTAGAATGTTTGAAATTAATTGGAATCATTGGATTAATAATTTCAATCTAGAGAGGGGGAAATTTTACTCATTGCATTTCATCAAGGTTCTCAAATAACTTGAAAAGTATGCACTTCTCAATGGTGCTGCAGAGAGTACACATATAAAGGATCAGATTTTCTTTGGACCATCAGACAAAACTGGGGTACTGAGCACCTTCTGAGCAAAACTGTAGGCAAGTTGTATAATTGAAATTTCATGCTAAGTCCACATTTTATTCTTTTATCATTTGTTTAAGGCAAAGGTTTTCTGGAGAAGAAATAAAGGATTAAATGTGGTAAGTATAGGTAGTTTTTAAACATTTTTGGAATTCTACAGCTCATTTCCATTTCACCCTTCTAAATTAATTTTTAGAAAAATATTTTATAAGGCACCTGTTGTGAAACAGAATTCTTGTTATGAGGTATATAAATGATCAAAGCAAGACTTGTCCAAACTGTATGCTTAGCACTTTGATCCCTTGCTTGTGTGAAAAATCCACGAATACCATCCAATAGTATGGATGGTTTATTTCATGATGCATCTTGTCTTTCAGAAAGCAGAATAACTACCAACTCATTACATCTACAAAATACCTTAGAATAAATAAAGGAAGAAATATTAGGCCTCACCAACCAAAATAAAACCTGACCTTGACAACTTCAAAAACAAAACATACAGCAAACTTTTCAGAGGACCTTGAAAGATGCTAAATATCTACAGTTTATTGAAATTCAGTGGCATCTGTGACTTTAACTTTCATTGAAATCTCAGCTGAAAACTTTGCTTGATAAAGGAAAACCCAGACGTAACAAACAGGTTTCCATTTACAATGAAACTGATACAAAAACATCAATTTTTTTACCGGTGGACTGCTGAAAATGTAGAAGGATGAACCCTTCAGGGCCAGAAACTTGAATTTGTAGAGCTGAGATGAATCAGTTCCTTCAAGTCTCTCATTTACCCATCCCATATGTATGACCTGTAAAAGGAAATAATTGAAAATTAAAGTTCTCTTTCTCAGTGGATCATGGGTTTAGTAGCATGGGATACATCATCTACTTCACATTTGCCTTGCAACCATTTCTATATTCTTGAAGCATACAGTGCAATGCCAGTGTGTCAGAAGTCCTTGAAGAGACTTAAACTTGTAGTACAGGTAGTCTGAATCTTATCTGAAATAATCCCTGTTTTAAAAGCCACCTATGCAGGTCAAAGCAGACTCTCATTTAAACCAGCAGAAAATCTACATGTACCAAAGTAGTTCAGTAGTTCAGCAGTTTATAGAACCATAATATCTTATCTATAGCAAACTTGGACATACTGATATTTCTATTACACATACCTCTAAAAAATACCTCTAAACAAATCACTGAATTTATCTGAAATCAAACAGCTTTCACCAGGCTCATGTTTGCAACTGTTAAAGTCTTTGTCACACTTGTTGTCTTTCAGAGTTTATACATTTTCATATATGCTTTATCACATTAATGTTTTCAAAGAGTTAGGTATCAAATCCAGTAGGTAGACAATGTTAGCAGTGTTACAATGCATGCCTTTATTTTCCAGATAAATTAATGCTAAGAAAAAATGAAATGGAGAAGTAAGATTGCATGCTTCCTTTTTGAGGCAAATAGAAATTTATAACGAAATGCCATAACTAAGAATGCCATGGTATGGTAGCAGAAAATCATAAATGTCTTTACTGAAAAATAACAAAGCAAAAACATTCCAGGCTCCATTTTGCATAAATTAAGAGGAATATATTGCTCTTGAAACAGGTACTTAAATCTAGAGTGAATCACCAGTCTGAGTGTACAAGTATTGCTGAGCAGCTTGCTCATTTTCAACTAAGGCTACACTTACAGAAGGAAATGATTTACAGGGGGAAGAAATGTCAAAGCCCTCACTAATAGTATGGATGAATTTTCATACCTATATTATGAAGACCTCACAAATTGCTTTCTTATGTTGGTATTTAATTATGAATTATGTCTTTTGTCAATCAATTTATTAATAAATGAATAATAAATCAGTATGTTGAGCCAGACAATCCTTCACCATACTGTTCTTCTGAGCTCCAGGACTAACATTTTCAGGAGATCTAAAAAACTGCAAAATAAATACAGTAGCCCTTCCAGTTCTTGATTTGCTGTTCTGTAAATTGAATAATTCTCACCAAAACATTGTTTCTATAGTAGTCAGCAAAAGTGTTGAAGCAGGATATTCAGACATCACATTACTTAAAATAAAAATAAAAACTGTTGCTACTCTACTGAGATGATATTTTATTCAGTTTATCAGGGTCTTAATATCAAATCACACAGACAAAAAGAATTACATCCAATATAGTTTTAGGGGGCTTTACTTTCTTTCTACATATCTTTCCTATTGACTGGTTTATTTAATGGTCTTTTAGATTTCAGAAATGGAGGAAGAATTATTATTCAGTTCAACAAAATCTCTATGGAACAAAAGCAAACAAATGTTGCTACTTAATTACAGGCTGTCTGTGGCTTACTGGGTTACTGAGATTTTAATGTGATTTTTGTATGTGCGTGGGAATCTTAGTCCGGGATAAAAAATATTCTGGTTTTTTGATTGAAACCTGCCATTTGAAGTTTTCAGGAGAGATCACCAGGCATTATACAACAGACTGTCCCTTCTCAGCTCTGCTTTTACTACATCATACATCATTCATATATTAACTTTCTAACATGCTTTAATACACTTTCCAAAAGTTCCCGTAAGAAGAAAATGAGCAATGGCACTCATTACAAGGAGATAAAACAAGTCACTAACAAAATGTAATCCAATCATAGCAGATAAATGAAAGTTCTTATTTGCACTTATTGTTTTCCTGCAGTAATAAAGCATCTAGATGCTGCAGTGACTGGAAATTTAATGTGTTAAATTTAATAAAGCAGTCAGTTTTGTAGTAGCAGTAAATTTTGTGTATAGTATTTTAGTTAAATACTTATGAAAAGTAAGTGTTGCAAAACACTCAGGAGGGAATTGAAGAAAGAAAATCAAATAGATATCTGTGTATGACACATCAGAACAGACAGATACAGTTATGTAATTTAAGTGGGATAAGAATGTACAAGAGATGCCAGACTGACCTGCAAGTTAAGAACCAGTGTCATACCATGAGGCACACTGGAACTACAACAAATTAAGAAAGCAAAGAGAAGTACATCTTGAGGCATCTTAAATCATTTTGGGGGAGTCTTTTCCAAAACAATGGTAGATGGTATATTTTGAAGAAAACAGCTATTGGGGCAGGACTGGGGGGGGGGGGGGGGACAAGCAGTACTTACACATACATAAAGTTTAACTAAAAGCAAAATAAAAATAAAATATAAGATTGTAATGTTGTAAGTTTTGATATATTACATTACTGTTTTCCATTTTACACCAGTTGCATTCAGTTATGTCTGAATGGCTGCTATTCAAAACAAAATGCTCTAGAGATCAAAGCATACAGGAATTTAGAAATTATGACACAAGTGCTCTTTGTGCTTTAGTGAAGAACAAAATTCGTAACTCCAAGCTGGGCACAGTTTGAACACCACAAATAGCAACATATCCACACTATGCTGAAGGGAACTATGAAGATAGGCATGTACCTGAATTCATGCATCTTCCCAGGCATTGTCTACCTGGGCAAAATTTAGATTACAAGTCCTTTTGGGTAGCAATGAGAGTTTCTTCTCTTTGTTTTCTTGTTTTAACAGAAGGCTGGTAAATTGGACCTGATGTCTCTCACCTTTACTCATTACAGCCTTCTTGTTCAAGTTAGGATCCAAAGCACAAAACTCTATCTTGAAGACAGCTACAACCAGTAAATTGCCTTATGGTTATGCATTCTTATAGCAGATCAGTAGCACTATTCATGCAGCAGGAATCAAGCAAACTAAAGAAAAATGAAAACATCCTTCACAAATTTTTTTCTTGTATGTCTGCTTTGTATTTTAGCAATATTACAACAATAAGTGGAAAAATAAAGAAGAAACTATTTCAAACTATAGCTGTTTATCTCACAGAGCATCTATACCTCACAGCACTGCATATCAGCTGACTAGGGGTTAAAAAGCTCAGTGTTTTTAAGTGATTCTTCTTTTGTTAAAGTTTTTTTCAGTTGTGGATCTGAAGTGCCAGAAAAAGTCTCTGAAGCTAATCAAGGCAATTTCATTAGGAAATAAAAGCTGGCCTCCCACATAAATAAAGTAAAAAAACCAAAGAAGATCTCAATTCTATCTCTATGTGGTCTCTTTATGCTTAAAGTAATTTAGTCCTGCTTCCTTTCTACAGGTGTAAGTAGTAAAATTTTAGTCTTCAAGAACCTAACCTTTCCAGAGTAATCATTAGGATAAGGTAATTTTATTGCTCTATGTTTTATTTTTAGAAACATTTTTTCTCTTTTTTAGAAAAAAAAATAGAAAGAGAAGCGGAAGAAAAAATGGTCTTTCAAGAGTAGGTGCAGGGCTTATTGTATGCTGCAGGATGAAGTCAGGCAAACATGTCCATGGCACACCTGCAGTTGCAGTTTGGCTCTGAGGAACAATGAGAAAACCCTTCATATTTGAAAAGCTTCTTATTTAGTATTATGATTTTACAATTATACAACACAGAGCAGAAAAGAGGTTTCTGAAAAACTTATTATCCTACCCCCTCAAAAATGCAGTAGCCCTGATATGTATTTTGTTTCTAAAAAATTCTTCCTTACTGTTCTCAGGACCTCTCCTATAGTGGAGGCTGCCTATTTTCTCTCAATAATTTATTCTAGCACTTTATTTCTCATGTCCAGCATGAATCAGCCTCACTGTAATCATAATTACTGCCCTTTCTGCTAAAGACTCAAATGGTTTTCACCTTAAAGTGGAAGAATTAAAAAACTTTGTTCACAAATGGAGCAAAAATCGATGAACAAGGATATGTAGCTGGTGTAGCCATCATTCTTTGCTGCTTTTCACATGTTATTCTCTGAGCAAAAAGTTATAATTGTTGAATATTTCTTTCATACCTCTGTATTTTTCTCAATCTTTCCACAGAGGCCACAGAAAACCTCTGGTCGATACCTTTTCAGAAACGCACTGTACAAAATCAGAGGCAGTATTCTGGCCAAGGCCTTAGAAGGCTTAGCATGTTCTGCAGTAGCTGGCTTAGGTACAGCCCACAATGCCTGCCTTTCTCAAAAGCCACCATGGTTGTTCTGGCATGCAGGTGAGCAGCCAGCCTGGCCTGATGTTAAACTGACAGGTAACAGTGTGAGAAACTGCTGGACATCGCTCACAGTGTGAAGGGAGGAGTTGGCTGGAAGCTGAAGCCAACAAGGGGGTAAACATCAATAAGGGGGCAAACCAGAAGGTGAAATACACTAAAAGAAAGTGAATAATGGGTGAAGAATATCAAAAGATAATGAAAAAGGGGACTGATTTGCAGGCAGCTGTGGTGCTATCACAGATTAAGGCTGAAATAGCCAAATGAGCATATAAAATTCAGAAAAAATAAGGGCCAATGGAGAAGCAGTAAAGTGCGGGTGAATTCCTTATTTGCAAGGAGAAAAAGGGGGGAAAAAGTAATATTAGGTATAACAGAGGAATGCAAATTTTTGGGGTGTCTGTTGGTCAACCCTGTACCTGATTACAGCATACAGATGTAATAATAAACTGTAATAATAAACCATAGTAGTAAGTCTTAAATATGAACCTGTTTTTCATATTATCTCTATCTGACTGGCTTGTGCAGATAGGGTCATCTCTGAGTTCTAGTAAAACAATGGGGGATGAACCAAACCTTTCTAAAAGAATTTATCTCATCCAGAAAACCATCAAGCATTTTGCATCAGCAACCTCTTCAGTTTTTTCCCAGTGTTTTACATATACTTAATTGTTCTTGCATATATGCCATGTACTAATTGGCTTCAATCCTGGTTTTCAGACTCACTCTTCAATAAGGCAAGATCATTCATATGTTTAACATGGTGTTTTAAAGCTTAATGTCTGCAAAATTAGTAGGCTTACTTTTGCTAATGCACCATAAAGGCAGTATTCAAGGGAACTGGATCTGGGTCACCTCTTCAGTAATTCTAGTCAATATGTCAGTTTGGAAAGTGAACCATCTATACCTAATATTGGATTATCAAACAAAATCTGTACAACCAAATCCATATAATACTTGTTTAAAATATTTTAATGTCAGAAGTTGTCACAAAAACCTCACTGGAATCAAGATATGTTGCAGCAACCTCCTGTCACACATCCACAGGATTTACATGTTCACAAGAGAAAATTAGATTGGTTGTCATGATTTGTTATTGAAAAATCCTTCAGAGCAGTCATTTATCATCTTTCTGCTCCACACAGGTATTTTGTTTATTTATTTCAAATTTCTTTACAGGGATTGAAGTCAAATTGAGTAGTATCTAATTGTCCAATTTCTCCTTCTTTATTCCATTAGCAACCATAATGTTTGCCCTTTCCTAATGTTTAGATATGACACTTGGCAGACACAAATCCCCTGAAATAATAACAACAATAAAAGTTTAGGTCTTTAAAACATAAAAACTATCCAGCAAACAAACCAAAAAACATTTCAAGTATTTTTATCTGTACAGAGAGAGAATTGGCTAATTTACTTTCATAAAAATTAAAAAGCAATCCAGCAGCATGTATTTTTGAAAATTGAGTCCCAAATTTAACAAAGAATCCAGTGCTTTCAAATCTCTAGAGTATTATAATAAGCAATATCAAGCAAAATGAAAAAGTTATGATGCTTAGATGCTGTGTGTTTCATCATTAACACAGGTTACACAAAGAACCAGAGCTTCAGCAGAGCTACTTATTAAATGCCTTTCAAATTTGTGTAAACCTTGAATATTTCTTAAAACCTTGTAGTCCTTGACTTGGACTAACTATCATGACATGTCCTAGTATAATTAGAACTCGCCAAACAATTTCCACAAATAGTCTGGGATTTTAGCTTTGGTGGAAATAATTTCCAATAGGCAGTTTAAATGCAAACACCCTACTTTGGTGGGGAAAAGGAATTTAAAAGTGTGGAAGTAGCCAGACCAATTAACTTCATAACCTCGTACTGTCAATATAAATTGATATGTTTAACAATATAAACATATCAATAATAACTACAGCTTCTACTACCTTGCCTAATACCTCTAACTTTGTGTCATAGACACAGAGCAAAGTCATAGAATCAGAGAGTCATAGAATATTCTGAGCTGGAAGGGATCCACAAGCATCATCAAAGTCTAAATTATGGCCCTTCACAGGTAAGAATCACCATATTTGTTTGACATCTTTTGGCAAAGAGACCCATAAATAAAGCTGGTTTAGACCCAAGAACCAATGTCTTAGTCCTTTCCCTTTTTCTTTATTTAAATGTGTACAGAATTCATTATGTTCTGGAGATTCAGTTTGCAAAAAAAAAAAAAAAAAAGTCAGAGGCAATATAAGAGACAAAGAAGAAAGCCAGGTTTAACAAAGTAATTTTTTACATGCTTGATAACCTTGAATCCTAGTTTTTTAATGGCCTATGAAAACCAGAATCTGAATGAATCTATCCACATCTAACCTTCTCCCTTTGTGAAAGATTAAGTTGGACTCTAAAAGCAATGAAGAAAACTCACCGCAGGCAACACAGTAATGAAACTCTAAGGACCTGTTTAATTCTTCAGGAATGTCCACGCTCAAAAGGAAAGATAAATTTGCAGCTATCAAAAATTTTACTTCAAGGCAGGTCTTCAAGTGACCTTCAATCTCTTAAGGTTATCTTTCCTCTAAATTTTAAATCAAGCTCTTGCCTTGCTATTTGGGTCTGTACAAACATTATGTAACTGACACTAATAGGCTCCATTAATCTAGGTCAGAAAAGGATCTCTTCTGCTTTCAGTTATCATTGCCAAATTTTATATGATGCCTTTGTGATATATGTATCTGAGAAGTCACATTTTGATTGCTTTTAAAGCAAATTTTAACAGGATATGTAAAGTCTGAGTTGATCACAATTGTCCTTTTAATATTTTTATGTTTTCTAGTTTTGTTTACTTGATCTGCCCAAATTCATTATAAACTTTTTTTTCCTCACTTTTTGGCAGAGAACAATCCAAGGTTTGTTGCTCTCAGTTGTACCTTAAATTTTAAACTTCTGAAATTAAGGTCCTAATTCCTTCTTTTCATACTCAGAATGGAAAAAGTGAAATAGATTTGTACTGCCTAACTTTAGATGGTAGGCCGAGGCAAGTTAAGATTAGCAAAAGTGACTCTTCTAAAGGATGATTTAAAGGGCTGATACCAAGTTTCACACTTGAACAGTTCTCTGGAACAGAAAAGGTTTCTGCACTGATTATTTAGGCAGTTTGTGGAGACTAGGCAATTAATTTAGGAAATCAAATTATGTATCTAGTGATATGTATATAGTTGTAGGACTGTCTCCAAAATTTTTTGAAAATTGAGGGAGAGTATGTCTTCTTTTTTTTAACTGAACTCATTATGTGTGTCCAAACTGATAAGGAAAAAACTTTGAATAGTTACTAAAGCACTTGCAGTAGATAGTTAATCCAATAAAAGATATCCAAATCCAATACCTTTTCCCTGGGCATTCATAATCACCTGGTTTTCATATTGGTTTAATTAATAATTAAAAGTCATGACAAAGAGAGCAATTAAATCACAGAATTATAGAACAGTTTGGGTTGGAAGGGAGCTTTAAATGTAATGGAGGTCAACCCCACTGCAAAAAGCTGGCACACCTTCAAATAGATCAGATGGCTCAGAGCTCCACTAATTTGACCTTGAATGTTTCCACAGATGGGGTGTGCATCAACTCTCTGGGCAACTTTTGCCAGTGCTTTACTGCCCTTAATGTAAGAAAAACTTCTTTTTTATGGCTTAACTAAATCAACACTCTTTCAGTTTAAAATTAGCACCTCTGGTCCTATTACGATATGTTCTGCTAAAATTCCCAGTCATTCTTATAGGCCCCCTTTAGATACTGAAAGGATTCAATAAGGTCACACTGGAGCCTTCCCTTCTCCAGGGTGAACAGCCTCAGCTCCCCCAGTCTCTCCTCACAGGAGTGATGTTCCATCCCTCTGATGTGTCCTTCCTCTGGATCTGTTAGAGCTGGGCCATGCCCTTCTTATTTTGGGAGCCCCAGGGCTGGATGCAGAGGTGCAGGGGTCTCACCAGAGCAGAGTAGAGGGGCAGAATCACCTGCCCTGACCTGCTGACTCTACTTTTGATGCAGCCCAGGACACAGTTGGCTTTCTACTCCCCAAGTCCTCCCTGCCCTTCAAGTGCCTTATCACAACTTCTAGGAGGATCTGTTCCTTGATCTTCCCAGGAACACGGATGAGGCTGACAGGTCAGTAGTTCCTGCGTTCCTCCTTTCTATCAGTTTTAAAAGTGGGTGCAATGTTTCCTCTCTACTTCTCACCAGGGACTTCACCAGACTTCAATGGGTTTGCAAACATCGTGGAGAGTGGCTTGGCAACAACATCAGCCAATTTTCTTGGGATTCTGGGATGTATGTCATCAAGTCCCATAGACTTAAGCATGTTCAGGTTCCTGAAGTGGTCACAAATCTGATCCTACAGTGGGAGGGACTTTGCTCTCCCATCATTGATCTTGCAGTCCATCCACTAGGCAGTTTTAAAACTGACTACATGTGCATGCAAGCTCTACAAATTTTCCAACAATGTAATCACACAAATTAAAAAAAAATTGATAATATAATGGAAATCTTACCTGGTCAGAGGGAGAACAGCATTTATTTGCCATTTTCATCTATGAGAGAGGGAAGAACACATAGAGTTATTGGTATGCTGAAGAGTTTCTGTGATGGAACTAGCATTGATTGACTTAGTTATTGAATACTATATTACTACTTCCAAATTATATTTGTATGAAATTTTATCAGTCAGTGCTTAAATAGTAGATTTTTATTATTATAGCAAATTTGCAAAACCAAGGACTTGAAAGACAAAAGCTTTTAATCAGTTTTCCTTAAATACCTCATAAAGATTTGCATTTATGAATTTAACTTTGCCAGTCTGAGTGAAAATACTATACTGTACTGTAGACATCTCACTTAGGTCTCAATTAAACAATTGCTTAAGCAGATTCTTAAATGATGTTTGCAATTAAGTCCTTGTGACCATAGAGTGTAGGATGTATTTACAGATGCAATGAAAATTGCATGGGCTTTCCTGTTAATTTGTTCTTCAAGACAAAGTTTTTCCTCTTTGTTTAGGTAATAAAGAGTTTTGATCATTTTGATTTTTCTCTGGCAGTCATAGTTTGCACATATGAGTGGTGGACAAATACTGAAATATATAGTACACAAATACTTCCTTAAATGTAACATTTTTTAAAGTGCAATTTTATTAAGTGTAGATAAGAATTTAGAAAGAAATATATTAGCGTGTAAAACCATACTTCCATACATTCTAGGAGGAAGCTGAAAACTGTCCTAGAGTTGATGAGTACTTCCAAAGGACCTTGTTGTCAAAAAGCTTGTTTTATTAGAAATGAAAGGTTTGTGATGGAAGACCAAAACCCTACACCTGTGAACAGGGAAAACTCCAATTGCCATAGGAAATGAACAGAAGAATTCCAGGGCTATTGTTTGTATCCTGGGCACACCAGATTTGTAAGATCAAATCTGTGAATGTATCTCTTGTTAATATGGTGATGCCATTGGCTGCTGTGGTGAGTTGGCTCTGGCCTGTAGCTGAGCATCCACATAGCTGCTCACTCCCTCCTCCCTACCAGCAGGAAGGGTGAGAGAATAGGAAAAGCAAAAACAAGAAAACTTCTGAGTCAAGATGAACAGGGGTTAAGTGAAAGAAACAAGAAAAATTCAAGTGATGCGAATGCAATCACTCTCTGCCTCCCACAAGCAAGCTTCAAGCATCAGCCATCTTGGAAGATAAACCCACACCTCTTTTCTCCATGATGTCATTTCAATTGCTGAGCACAATGGTGTGGAATATCTCTTTGCGCACTTTCAGTCAGCTAACCCATCCGTGTCCCTTCCTAATTCCTTGTTCCATCCTCTGCTGAGGTGGGTGGGGTGTGTCAGAGAAAAAGTCAAAGCCTTCATTTCATGCATGAACTGTTCAGCACCAATCAAAACACTGGTGTGTTATTAATGCTGTTCTAGCCACAAATACAAAACACAGCACCTGCTGCTACAAAGAGAGCTCCTCCCATCCCAGCCAGACCAGTACATGTGGATGGGCCAACAGACTTTGTGTCATGGTAATGACACAGGCCTCAGGAAGTGTCAGGGTTTATACACACACTCTTGCAACTAACAGAGGACAATAACAAATCATTGTCCTCCACATAGTGAAGTATCTATGACCATAAACAAAATGACCTTAGGAAAAAAGGCAATGTGGAGGGGTAGGATGACAACAGGAGTCTTGACTGTATGGACAGAGGGTGATAGCAATGCTCAGGGCTGTAGGAGGTCTCTAGTCAGTCCTAACCCATCATGGGCCATAAGGGGTTTCTTCTCCCTCACACACTCACTTTTGCAGCCCTTTGGAATTGAAGTGTGCAGTTAAATGGTGCAGATTTGCTGGTGGGCCAGACAGCTGGGGGTGACTGAGGGTCTGAGGTAGAGGTGACCAAGCTGCTGGGAGCCGGGGGCATCTGCCAGGCCTGGCTGCGTGTTGGGAGATCCTGCCAGGCTCTTGAAGTGGCCCTAACAGCTCCTGGCCACCCTAGAGGAGGAGCAGGGACTACCACAACAGCAGTGGGTCACAGGCTGCAGGGTTGGCAACCACTGCTTAGCACAGGCAGAGAGTAACCAGGAGGATGGAACTGGAATTTGGCTGCTAACTGGACAGAAGGGCCCCAGCAAGGCTCTTGGCAGATCATGCACCAGGTGTGCCTTCCTCAGCCTGGCACAACTGCAGGGCTGCACTGTTCTGGAGCTGGTCTGGAGCACTGGCTGGGAGAAGAGTCCCCCATGGGGCCTCATCAGTAACAAACCAGCTGGAACTCAAGAACCTCACTCTGTAACGTGGTTAAAACAAATTGGTGAAACGGCCACTGTTGCAGAAGGAAGCAGTCCCCAGTCTGATTTGGTGGTGGGCTTAATCCTGAAGGAAGAGCTGTGCAGGACATAATGAAAAGTCACCTGGAATATTTCAATGTCAGTAGAAATGGTGATACACCCTGCCCATAGTCAAGACCAACCTTTCTCCTGTGCCTCAGACACAAATACATACACAAATTAACTACAGAAAAGCCATGTTAGACACACAGAAAATATAATTTCCTTTCATGTGTCCAAAACCTTACTCAATAATAAGATTACTATAGTACAAACCAGTGCAAGTAAATGGGTTCAGATGTGCTTGGAAAAAAGTGTGTCAGACTGACTATGAAGGTTTCCTGCACCAAGCAGGTAGAATATTTTGAAGAGCACCCTAATAACCAGCTCAGCTTCCCACTGGAAAGTATAATAGGGAAGAATGTTTGGACTCCACAGTTTTTCACTGCACAGGCAACTCATTCCCTATTCCAAGCAGGATGGCTGCAGCCCTGATGTTGCTGTGGGGAGAGGAAAAAGATCTGCTTCTATATCATATTACATCCCAGTGTCACAGGGCTGAGAAGTACGAACTCTTCACTTTGCCCAGCACCACGTGTGCCCTTCACATGTCTCCACAGCTGGTGCAGACAGGCAGGAATACAAATGGGATAAATTTACCTTGCTAGCACTGCAGTATAGAAATGTGAGCTGGACACAGCAGGGGAACTAAAACAAAAAACCTGGGTCTGCAAAGACTGCAGGCTACTTGGAAAAGGAACTATTAAGCAAATTGTAATTCCTACACTCTGTTCTAAATGGATACATACAGGGAAGGACCTAAAATTATTCAGAACGATTTACCTAAATCTAAATGCCTCCCAGGCTGGGATTTATTTCACATATAATATACCTTTATTCTCTTTCAGGAAAACAGTGAAACATCTTCACAGGCACCTATTTTCTCCTGGCTGTATTAGTATCCTATGTGACTTATTGTTTGACCAAGTTTAGGGGATGTGGGTCCTATCCCTACTGAATACACTTTACAACCTCTACAGTTTCAACTGTGGTACTTTCAACTGGAAATTTTGCATTTAAAACAGAAAAAAAGCAGCAGTGAAGAAATATTATGCATTCTCACCCTGGGAATAGAACTGTTTGTATAATCACTGAGGCAGTCGAATTTGTATACTGCTTCCTGCACACAAGGATTTTGTTTTCATCTACATGTACCCCAAATCTGCTGTGTAAAGAAAGCAAGACCTCCTCAATTTTCTTTCTTTTTTGTTAATGTATGTTTAAAGATTATAAGTCTCTCCCTATTACAACAGACATTTCACACAACTGCAACACAAAATATCCCCAGATACGTGTTCACATGAAGAAATAAAAGAGAAGGTTTACAGACTATGACATATACAATTAAAAAAACATGTCATGGGCATAAATGTGATCTGGATTAATAACCCCACTTTAATATCAAATTTTAAGTTTCTACCATCGTCCAATGAAACTGCTGGAATGATTTATAAAAACCATAAATAATTTTTAAAGTGGAACAAGAGCATCATAACTTGTTCTCTGACCTGCTTATGACCTACTCATTTATTTACATTTTTTTTAAACAATAACACCATTAGAATTTAATGTGAAAAACCACAAAACCTTGAGAAAGTTTTATATATATAAGAAACAAATCTGTATAATGTAAATGAACTGACAGCATTATGTTTAGGTGCTTCTACTGATTATGACTGAAATTATGCTCAGTGCTATATTGCAAAGACAATAATTAAGATCCATAAGAAAACCTGCATATATCTTATAGCTGTCAATCTGAATGGTGAAAAACAGAGAGAGAAATATATAAATTATCCCAAAGACCTTTCTCCTAGAAAGTCATAGCCATTACAGCACTGTCACTTCAGCCTACAAAGAACCCTTCAGCTGAAGAAATTAAGAACAGGAGCAGTGAGAAGCACAGGCAGAATAATTTATTTCCTGTGCTTCTTGTTCAATCATGGAAGATTCACTGCCAGTTTCTGTTACTCCTCTTCCCCCAGTTTTTTCAACTGCACCTCCTTCTGCAAGAAAAGAGGTGTATGAAGAAATAAATCTCAGGTGCTGATTCACCTGCATTTATTTCTGCCAAGGATAAATGCAAAAAGCTTTGAGAATATTGAAAATGAGGATTGAATCACAAAGGACGATGATAGGGTAGTTTCATGCTGGTGGAAAAGTATGTGAAAAAACAGAATATGTACAGAGAGGTGAATAATTTGGGGCAAGGGTCCTCAGAAATGCATGTTGCTTGTAAAGCTGATTGTAACTAGGAGATTTTCTGAGCTAAACATACAAAGCATGTATCAGCAATGAGGGCTGAAAAGATACTCTTAGGTTTTTCTCCACATTGTAGCATTCTCTGTGCTCCTCTGTCATCTAAGAATTAAGTCCAGGCTGGTACCAGAATCATTATTTCTCATCCTACAAGTAACACTCTTTAAATATGTACAGGGACAGCACTCCTATGCAGTGACAAGTTCTCACATCTCCACTGTTGAAAGATGACTCCTCCTATACACTTGATCCCCAGAGAGCTTGCCTTTGTATAGAACTTAGATGTTTCAGTAGCACTTCAAAAGAGTAGTCTGACATTAGCAGAAGTGTCACATTGTGGCAGAGCTATTTTTGCACTACCTACGCTAGGACTGTCTCCTGGCATCAGCAGGAGATCTGACAAAGAGCTGCTGAACATGACTTTATTAGGGTAAAATAAAAAAAAAAATAAAGTATATTAGGGTAAAGTGATACAGGAAAGATTGTACAAAAAAATCCGTATTAAGAGCTCTTTAAGAACTAAAATTCTAAAAGAAATTATTTAAAATGTCATGCAAATATGTAGGGCAAAAAGTGTAGATAAATGTAACACAAATAGGCACATTTTAAGTAAGAATGACTAAAGTACGAGAAAAGTTGCTAAAGTCATGAAACAAGTACCAGCAAAACAAAATGTAAAACTGTGTGGAAGTAAAACATGAATAACGGTAAGTATTGCTTAAAAACCTCGTAATAGCTCAGGTAAGGATGCTGACATTATGCCAACAGTGTTAGCAAAAAAGTCCATTGTGATCATGCATCTAGCAACTAATTTCTATACTGGGATAATGGTGTGGGACAGAATAGGAAATCAATAGTTTAACCATTTGGAGAAGCAACTGAACTTTGAGTCAGCAAGTACTCATGAAAATAACCCATAACCAGATAAGGAGCTCTCTGAAATAATTTCTGAATGAGTAGTGATTATCTTTGCTCCTGGAGAATGGGGAGATACTCTACAGGGCTGGAGAAGTGCAGAGACAAGAAGAAACTCTGAAGGAATAAGAGATTCATTCCCCAATGTCAGTGTCAGAGGTATGATAAGAAAAGAATCATTTTTTGAAATTATAAGACTAAGGTAATCAAAAGGATTCCAAATGGACTTCCAAGAAGCTGGATTCAAAGGCCTGTCCTAAGCACTGTGGAGGGTTCTCTGTGTTTTCTGGCTGCTCAGAGGCAGAGAGCTGTTCAGCCTTCTGCTGTACTCCAGCCTCTCAATCCCCATCTTAAAAATAGTTTGCAACAAAAGGGATTCTCACTGACTACTGCATCTCCCCTTCTGATGGTCAATAATTAAATAAATGCTCTGGCCTGACCTTTCCAGTTGTACCACAGGTTGCAGGCCTGACAAAACCTGGAAAGCCACTGTCCAAGCAAAAAAGTTTACATGCTTCTCATATGAACTTACATGAGTTTGCTTTGTAACTCACTAAGAACACAAAACATGGATATTCATCATGACTGTTGTTTCTCAGGCCCTTCCTGGGAGCTGCCAGTTATATGAACACCAGATGGACTACTTTATTGACAGAATTCACTAGAAAAAGATAGTGGAGAAAACTAAGAAAATCCTCAGTTCATAATAAAATATTGCTGCTGACAGGTCACAGCACAGTGAAGATGCTGTGTCACATAATTACTGCACATAGTCCTTTGGAAAAAACTGACTAGCACCCTATGACTAACAAAAGCTGCCTGCATTTATTTTTATTCTTATTCACTTATATCATTGGAATGGCTCTTATTCAGTGAATTTCTCCACAAAGAAAGAAAAAGGCTTAGTAACTATGAATTGGAATTTCTCTAGAAATATTACCATACACTTTCTTAGAATTATTACATAATAATACCCTGTACGTTATCTGAGTCACTAAATAGTATTTGAAAAGAACACGTCATAAGCAAAAATGTCAGATTTTGCAAAGAGATTGTTTACGCAATTGAATATTTTAAAAGAATTAATGGAATAAATGAATATATTAAAAGAATTAATGGAATAAATGAACTATTATGATCAAATGTGATTCATGTAGCTTTTGAAGAATAGGAAAACAAATGAAATTTTAAGTCTGTTTTAACCAACAGACTTAAAGATTTATGTTGAAATTTAATACAAATTATTCACAATATAATCTGGAGACCTAAGCAACAGTTCATTTAGAGTACAAAGCACAAATAAAAGTCAGGCTACTAAATCATAATTTACAAAAGAAGTTAACAGACTATGCACATGTAGAGAAAGAAAATATTAAAACCTGCATAGGCAATTTTTTTCAGGGATAGCTGTGCTATTGCATTTTCATCACTGAATTTTATCATTTTTTAAAGACAAATATACTTTCAAAATTGTACATTTTTGAGTTCCCTATTTAACGTCATCGTTAATTCCATAATTATCAATGTTTTTAGCTGCTCTTTGATGGAATAATAGATGTGCTGTCCAAATAGTAATTTTCTGTTTCTCTGGGGACTAGTTAATACTTCTGTTTGCAAAGGCAATTGTTACTTATTAATTTACAGGAGTAACTTAAAATAGTATAAGCATCTTTATACTTCTAGGAAGTGAGATGGAATAATGTGTCCTTGAATAAATCAACTCTTAGACAACTTAGAGATGTAAAATTACTGTCTCCAGTAAGTCTCAGTAAATCATTCTTCACTAGCTACAGAATTTTCACACGCTTGTTTCAAAATAAACAAATTTAACAAAGAGCTGCTGAACATGACTTTATTAAGGTAAAATAAAAAAAAAAAAGCAACAAATGCTAATTTCAAGCATGGTTTAACTACAAAAATGTGAAAATGAAATATTTGGTCACATCTAAAGCTCTGTGAAATGACCACTACTGATACATATTTTGACCTAAAAATCTTTAAAATGATAAATGCAATCTGATTTTCTACTGGTTTCTGTTCTATGCTAACACTGCAAGCCTTGAAAACTTCTTAATACTTTTGATCAGGTGGCTCTCCCTATTTTGTCCTTTCTCTTTTTCCTCCCCATACACAAGCATTTTATATATTGTACTTTAAGGTGAATTGTTTTTTACCTTTTGAAAACTAGAAATAACTTTACAATAGCATAAACAAGAAAATATGCAGAAAGTAACATACATTTTGAAGTGTCAAATCACTGATGTTAGTAGACATTGCTCTCAGCCAGTCAGCACTCTCCTGGGCTGTATAAAACTGAAGTATCCCAGTACTAACTCCATCGAGTGCCAGCACTTCAAATGCATTAGATCTGCAGTAAGAAGAAATATATCCGTAAAGGAAGATATGTCAGTTTTCTGAAACTGCCCAATATTTATCAGTGTTCAAGTGATTTTTATGCCTTTTGACAAGTTTTTGACTGTTTAATTTACCAATCAATAGAAAGGCAACAAACCCAAGGATAATAGGGCAGTACCAAGAGTAACAGATACAAGAAGTGTTTTCTCTGTACCAATATATACAAGTGCTGATGATCATTTACTTCCCCTGGGCATATATATTATATTCATAATTATTGAACTTAAGGTAGTGTATTCAGGAAATATGCACTGGGCCTTTTTGAAGACAAAAATAGTGGTTTTTAAAACCAAAATGCCAATTTTATTTATTGCACTTTGGCTTCATTTACTGGGAATGTATGAAGATTCAAAGCACTGTCTTCCTTAGCTTCCATTTCTTGGATTCCTAAAGGTTTTTTTATGTCGTATTCAAAGCAATGGTTACTTCAAGCACTCTTATATCATAGGAATTTGAAAAATGTTCTTAAAAGCTTCTTCAAAAATTTTCCCTAGTCTTCTCAAAACAGCATTGGCATAGGCTAATGTGCAATTGCATTTTGTTAAATTTTAATGCAACTTTTATGTGTTTACAGCAACTTTATTCTGCAAATTCCAATGCTTTCCTTCCCTCACTATCTGCAGTAAGTTAGGCACTGCATATGTACCTTTGAAATTTCCTGCACCTGAATGCTGGTGGGATATGCTTTTTTAACTCTTAAAAGTTTCCTATAGGAACCACAAAAGCTCATTAAGTAGTGGCATGAAAGTACACTGGTCTAAATTTTAAAAAAGTGACACACAATAGTTGCAATAACTAAACTTCAGAAAGATAACCAGATTATTTGAATGCCTATGATTGCTAGGAGAGTTAGATTTTAGTTATATACTATTGTGAAAGACAATTATAATTATCACAATGATTTAGCATACATTTGTTTTGTGTATAATATGGAGAATATCACCACTACCTCCTACATTTGTAAATTAGATATTTATACTTATATGCTATATTGCCCCATTTTTGGTACCAACCTAAAAGAAAGCTAACTAATGAATCAGAATACTGCTCTATGAAGTTGCTGAGTCTTCCTGGGGATCTCTGATGTAAGGTAAAATCCTCTACTGCTTAATTGATGATATATGTCAACATTCAAAATGACATATAGTGTTAATGTGCAGTTATTCATTCCTGACTTATAGAAAAATGTTATTAACCTAACCTTTGTCATTTGTAGGGAGTTTGATGGTGAACATGAATACTGAACTCTATATACTTGCTAGAAAAGGACTACCCATTATACACAATATAAATGAAACAACGTATTTAATAGATATATGTGAGATGCTTTGTTTTTAAAGGAGCTGTAAAGCATTATATCTGCTGTTTGCAAAAATTAGCATGCTTGGCCTGAAGACTTAGATATGTATCAGCCAATTGTCCATTTTTCTTTCATGACTGAATAATCATGGGAACTACTAAAACTTGATGGCAGTGGCACAATTCTGTGTCATTTTTATTCCAGTAATCTCTTTCACCTCTTCAGAAAGAAGGAAAATATTAAAAAAATCCTTTTATTGCCTTCAAGTAAACTGAGTAAAATAATCACGTCCCAAACATATTGTTCTTTTTACCTAAGGCTCTGACATAGATCCCAACAGTGCTGTAATAAAATGATTTATGGTATGATCTCCTCAACATCCCACTGAGACAGTGAGAACCTGTCAGCCCTTATGCATTGATCCACACTGGTGCCTGCAAACAGACTTAATTTAATGCTGTGAGGAGAAGCCCTTCACAATGCCCAGCTTAGGTATCCCATTCAAATATCAAAGCTAAGATGCTAGGATCCTGTGCAGAGCTGTGCAGAGCATTTAAGAGAGCCAAGCAATAGTATGTGCTCTCCATGGAGCCACAGGGTGTCTAGATACTAACTCAGCCTCTGCAGACACACAAAGACCTGAATGCCTTATCCCAGTGGCACAAAGTTCCCTATGTGGCTGATGAAAGATCACAGAAGGGAACTCCTTGGTTAACAACTGAGGCAACCAAAATAGGCAATCAAAATTAAAAAAACAACTTTTATTATAAAAATCACTGAATATTTTACCATTTGAAACAGGGTGCTGGTGATAGAGTGGATTACACTAAAGCCCCTTTTTAAAATATGGTGATCAATTACAGACAGTTAATAATATTCAATATTCATCTAGAGATGGAACACTTCACTAACATGATATTTGCACAGAATCAAATAGTGTGTGAGGAATCCTGCTAGTCCCCTAGTCCAGCCTCCTCACTAACTTTCTTAAAATACAAGTCTTTTCCACAGGAACACCAAAACTGGACACAGAGGGAGCTACCTCAGGTGTGGCGTCAGGAATGCAAGTAGATGAGAATAGGTAAGAACAACCATTTCCCTTGACTATGTTATTGCTAACACAGCCCCTTATATGGGACTTCACCACTGAACCTGTGCTCAGCTGGCTCCTGCTCAGTGAGGAGTCTGCCAGGCTCCCCAGGCCCTGCCTGCAGAGCTCGTTCCCTTGTGCCAGAACACCAATGTTGGGATTCATAAAATTAGAGGGTTTTGAGAAAGTGGTAAAAAAGACAGGCCTCAGACAGCAGATTTGTGAACATTGCTAATACAGCAAAAAGTTTTCTAAGCAGTAGAGCAGACGTGAGAAATAGAACAATAAGCCCCTGTGATTTGCCCTTATAGGTTGCAACAAGTTTATTTATGTATATCTTTAGAAAGTTAGTATGAATGAGTCTCTGTGCTTTGTCTCTCATAAATGAGCCATTGTGTTAGAAAATAAGTCCCTATTGTGTTAACTACCATTATGTGTGTTTCATATGATTGGATAGAATTATTGTCAATATGTTTTGCTCTATGAGTGATTGGCTGAAACCTAGGCTGAGATGGCTTTATGCTACCCTGTAACGTGACGTTTCCTCAGCATTCCATTTGAATCAGCGAGCTGTAAACATACTCTGTCTCCATTGTCCTAACAATGTACTGAGGCTGATGTGTAAAATAAACAGCTCACAACACTGATTCAGATTGTCCCGTTCCGTTTGTGGCTGTATATAGCGTGCCGGCTCGGCACACTGACACCAGGACATTCTTTTCCCAGGGCTCAGGCTGGTTCAAGGCTCCTGATGAGCCAGTGGTGGTCACATTATCTGGCACAAGAGATGGAGACCTTTGGGGCACTGCTGTACCCACTGGGCTGGCTTGGCAGAAAGGTGGTTTTAGCAGAAAGCAGTTCAGTGTAAATGACATAGGACAAAAAAACAGCCAGTGCTTTTCAAAGTTTATATATGCCAGTCATGGTAGTAACACAATGCTTTTGCCCTGAAGCTTAATCAACTTTACTACAAACTTTATTTCTTGCTTTCAGTTACAAAAGTTTCTCTCTGAAGATCCCATAATATATTGATATTGTTCCATGTACCACACGGTGTTCTAAAAAGCATAGTGTGCAGAAGGCTACAAGTAAAAACAGATATCCAAACTAAAAACAAAAGCTTAACAAAATAAATCCTAAGGCTTTTGTTTTAAGTGAAACAATCAAAGCAAGCACCAAGATGGCACTGGAATTCACAAGAAAATAAATCCTACAGGCTTAAGTGACATGCATTTCTCTCTGCCATTTCCTCAAAACAGAGAAAAGAAAAAAAGACACAACAAAGCACCTACTCCTGTTAGCTGTCAAGGAGGAGCTTTCCATTTAATACCAAATAATAAGTTTGAAAGGTTTCAAGATGCTAGAAAGTTGACGTAGGTTTTTATTTTCATTGTTGGTTTGTATTTCTTTTTTCCCTGAGGCCATAAGATGATTTTAAAACACAGACAGAGGAAATTTCTACATCTTCTATTACTGAAGTTATGCTACTGACTACTGTAACTAGAACAAGAAATTAATATTTGCATTTCCTAAATACTAGAAATTTGTGTTGCACTGCCATCACATTTCTTACTTTGAGATTTTTCTCCTTATCTGTAAATTTGTTTCCTTCAAGCATTTCTGCTAAGGAGCATGAGGCACCATTTTCAATACTCAGTGTCTTTCTATCTCACTTTCATGGTGAAATTATGAATAGATCTGCATTCCTGGTTTCTTCTGGAGTTTGTTTATGGTATTAATTTCTTGTAATAAAATAAACACTCTTTGTGAGCATGGCAGTCAGAATAACAGATAAGACTTTAGGTTTTCTTCTTGACATTGACACATTGAAACAAGTACTACTAATTAATATTAGTAAGGAAATCTTTCCATACAAGCAGTTTGCTGCTATAGTTGTGTTAAATCCAAAGACTTTTCTAAGATAAAAAGTATTTTCAGTGCCAGCTGAAGTGGGAAGAGCTGAACTTTTACTTTACTGGAGGCTAAGAAATCCAGCAAAGCATATATTTTTACTTTTTAGTATCTGCAGCATGTGAAACCGTCTCTCTTAGACTTATATAGGTATTTTATTATATAGATATTTCTACAAAAATCTAGACGTAGGCTTGACTGCAACTCTTTCATCTTTACTACCATGCTGATACAGACAGATGGATTTGTTCAGCTTTGCATCTTCCCAGGTCCTGAATCAGTACTTCCTCCTGTTTGTATAATTTTTTTAATGTTTGAGTTAGTTTTTATTGCTATTGTTACAACATTTTATTGTGGCTTGTTTATAATACTACACGGCCCTCTTGATAGAATGTCTACTTAGACTGAAGTTTTAAGGACTATGGGTAGATCTGAGTGGAAATTCTCCAAAAGGAAGGATCTGAATTACTTAATCTCTTTGAAATGTCATGTTAGAAGTAATGGAATTTTGTATTGTAAATGTCACAGAACCTCGGATCTTACAAAATGTTTAAATGTGAGCATATGACTGGACTATCAACAGAAACCATGTAGCTCAGAAGATATCAAAACATTAAACATAAACTTAATTGCATTTTATGTTTGTGGTTTTGGGAGGAACATTTTGATTCCAGTATTGTAACTTTTATTTTCATTACACTTATAGAAACCAAATAAGATAACTGAAGTAACACAAACATATGTACTTCTACAGATATTTTCTAACTGATGTGTCAGAAAACTGTGAGAAAGTTCATTTAGTTTTGTAACTCAGTGTGCTTAATTTCAAGATTTTTTCAAAATGGTTCATTCAATTTCTTATTTTCAATTTATTTACCTAATTAAAGGCATTTTGTTAACTTACTGAAATGATAAATGGAAAATACCATTCTTCAGAAAAAATCTGTTAAGAACCCAGTGAACACATTAAAAAAAATTAAAAACACACAATACTTTGGAGTAATTGCAATGGCCAGAATACCAAGAAATAAACATAGCACTAAATCTAATTAGGTTGTTTTGTAATTGACATCACAGCTACATGGGCTCATAGCTACTGGGCATGAATTACTTTCATTCCACTCACTATTTCAGTCTCCCATATTTGAAATAAGCATTTTTTCTTCAGTCCCTCAACTTAAAATGTTCAAGATGTTATATGTATTGTACCTTTACTCAAAGCTTCTGCCAATACACTGTATAAAATCATTATACATTACTACCAGTATCAGCTGCAAGGACTAAAAATAGTAATATTTGCATTTCCCCAAATAAAAATTACATAACAGAAATGAAAGACTACAGTGCATGATCTGTATTCCTCAGCTTCTAAAAGACTACCTATCTTTACTTTTCTATCTTAAAAAAGAAAACCATCTCAAACTAGAATATGAACCACAAATTCCTTTGGGTGAGAAAAAGCTTACTTATATTATTTCTCTGTTAAGCTTACATCACATTTATTGACCAATTCAATCCTCAACAGTCAAAAAATGCTTCCATTGCCAACTAGCAATTAAGAGTATTCACAGCAATAGCATTCTCACTACATTTATATTGCCTTACTTCTCACAGAGAAAAATTACATTGATGGATTAGTGAGAAGTCTAGAATAATAAAAGCAGTAGTGCTATATAATAAAGGCAAATGAATAAAAAATGATTAATTTCTAACTAACCAAAAAGACTAATTAGCATGCTACATAAATAAATACCTTCAGACAGACTCCAACCATATCAAGAATGCGAAATACACTAATTCAAGCTGATTTCAGTAGTTGATACAAAGTTTAATCTTCCATTGAGAACAGGAATGACATCTACTATGTTTCTTATCTTTCCTTTAAAATATTCAGGGAAAATTTTTTTTGCTTTTGTTTTGTGGTATTGATAAACATATTTCACATGCCCAGTGTTTAGTATTTTAGCCATTCCTTTATATGGAAGGAAAATACCTATCCCATTCTCTCTTGTTTCTGTTAATGCATATGGTGTTAACAGAATTAAAAATATATGAAAAAATATTCTTGTGTCATTAAGTCACAGTCTAAAGACTTCCTGTGAAAAATACAATAAAAAGTCAAGTGAAACAAAAAGCCAGAGGCAAGTTGCCTTTCTTTTCACATGAACAACAAATAAGAATCAAACAGATACATGTGATCTTGGCCATCTCATGACACAAGAATATGCTGAAAGCATGCCTTTTTTTTGGGCAAAGCTACTGGAAAACTCAATTAACTACAGAAGAACTTTAACTGCACAGTTTAACCACAAAGGAAATAATACAGCCTAAGATGCAGGATGCATACAAGTTATGACAGACTCATGGACTCATGTAGTACAGGAAAAACAAACATGGTGTCAACCCATGTATGAAAATAGGCTCCAAATAAATATGGTAAAATTAGGAAATCAGTCAGAAGGATCTGTGATCCATTCAGGGGAATGAATTTGTGTTCACTCCAATGGCTTTGGACTGATGGCTGCAATCTAAAAGGGAACAAAGACAGGCAGATGTGGTTGAAAGCCGGATTATTATCCAGACTGATCAGAGGTTTTATTCCATGCAAAGCAAGTATTTATTTTAGAGAGTAATTACAGAAGACATATGTTGGACACTATACATATATGAACATGGGGAAATGCAAAAAGAGGATACGAGTTGGATAATAGTAAAAACACATATATGCATTTCACAGTACATCGTAAGAGCAGTCTGGTGTCCCTCAGGCACAGAAATCCCACTTTTAGTAAGAATATGGGAAATGCCTCATCCACAGTTAGCCTCAAGGCAATATCCTTTTAATGCTCATATAGCTGACTTGTTGGTTCACCAAAACAAGCAAGGAGCACTTACTCTAGAAGTAAAGTATCATGGGATGACAGTAGGCTTTATGGCACTATTTCATATTCCTTCAGAGTGTATACAACAATAATAAAACACCCACTAATAATAGAAGAGTGGAATATATAATAAATATATATGGGAGTGAGATACATCACAAGAGAATATGTCTCTCCAAGACTAAAACTGAAAGCACTAAGTTCCTCAAATCTTACACAAAAAATACATCTGTGATGGGTTGATCTCGGGCCAGTAGCCAAGAATCCACACTGCCATTCACTCCCCCAGCCCTCTCCAGAGGCATAGCAGAGAGGATTTGAAGAAGAAAAAACCTCATAAACTGAAATTAAGGAAGTTTAATAAATAAACAGAAGAGGGAAAACCCCCATCTAACGAAATTACAACAAAACAAGTGATGCAAATACAACCACTCACTGTCTCTCACAAGCAGAATGATGTCCTGACAGTCTCCACGAAATGGCTCACTTTCCCCACGCCCTCTCTGCTCAGTTTTTATTGCTGAGCAAAGATGCTGCACAGCATGGAATGTTCCTTTGTTCAGTTTGGTTCACTGGTCCTGCTTGTGCCTCCTCTTAAATTCTTGCCTACCCTGGGTCTATTCACTGTGTAGGACAGACCAAGGAAAAGAGAAAGCCTTGATGGTGTGCAAGCCCTGATCAGCAACAACCACTCTACTGGTGTGTTATTAATATTGCTTTAGTCACAAATGAAAACACAGCACCATATGGACTACTATAAAGAAGATGAGCTCTATCTCAGCCAGAGCCAGTACAAAGCTGGAGCGGTTTTACTTCAGAGAATTCTCAAAATTCACATGCTACTCTACTGGAATCCCTTGGGATTTCTCCATCTAATGTGTAAAGTACACAGCACAGGAATAAAAGCTCTTCAAACTATCAGGGTGGTAACTGAAGTCAGAGGTTTAAATGTTCTATCCTCTTCCATTTATCCTTCAGATTCTAGAACACTGATGATAAGTTGATGCCTAAATGTGAACACTGAGATTTTTTTATTTAATTCACTAAATGTCTAAGCCTTGAATGGTTGGAGGTTTGTGATAGGTTGGGCAAGACTGGACAGTATGAACTTGTCAGCTGAAGTAGAGAGGAAGAAAGTGGTGGAGAAGTGATGAGACACTAAGTTGAAGAGAATTAAATGTTCAAAGAAAGTCTGTGGAAGAAGGTAAAACTTTTCTGGACAATTTATTATTCACCTGTGATGCTTTAACACAAAGTCTGGGAGAGGAGCTGCCAACTGCCTTAGAAGATGAATTACTCTAAGTTAAAGCAGCATATCTGTCCTACTAGAAAAATAATGTGTTTCTGGTCATTTTGAGGAAACAGGTAGAAAATCGGACATAAGTCAATAAAGGTTTTCACACGAATTTCTGGTATCTCATCATAGCAGGTGACCTGTACATTGATTCTTCTATAGAGATTCCAATTACCTCCTTAATATGTATTAAAGGCAAACAAAAATTGGGCAACCTCTAAAGACCAAGGAAAATAATGACAGTGAATGAACTCCTGTTCTGATACATATGGAGAACTATGGACTGCTTGGCCTACAACTACTGGTAGGTTTGAGAGAGTTGTACCATAGAATGGTTTGCAGAAAAAGCTTATGTATTCTGCAATGTGTAAAACTTTCTCAAGTATATTATTTATTGAAGCTTTATTAAACTTCACTTTTGCTTTTATATTTCCTGAAGCCCAGTAAAATAGCCTCTGACATCCTATTCCACAGTTTATTAACCATTAGTTATGCCTGTGAGATGCAAAAAAAATCTATGATCAAAAATACAGTATTTTGTACCATGTACTTTGCCAAAATCTCATCAATATGAGTTTCTTTATGACACTGATAAAAGTATATCTACATGACATGATAGCACAGGCATGATGATTATGCACTGTGTCATCCTTTATAATGAAAAAGGGGAGTTAATTGACAATATTAGAATTGGGGAATATAGAAGTATCCTATTAGGTATACTGAAGGAAATGTAGTAGCTTCAAAATTCATTCACATAACACTGGGATTAACTTTTGTGCTAGCTGCTGATGCTAACTGAATTCCCAAGATACAACAGATTATAGAAATGTATTTTTAGGAGCTTTACCTTATCTTTGGTAATCACCATGAATACCATTAATCTTAGGAGAAGATGAACTGCATAGCTTTTAATAAGAAGAATTGCATATCTCCACTCAGGTCCTGTAAAGCCAACAATCCACAGCAAAACACTTTGTACAGCTAACTAATCCAGTGCCTCCCCTTTCAGATTACAAACCTTAATTTATCTGTTCCGGTTTTGTACCTCGAGATTCGAGCCATCGACAGAGGAACTGATAAGGCGTCCAGCCAGCGCTTCTCGTATTTTGGTTCATTAGCTATGGGTGAAGAAGGTGATGATGGAGCCTGTGCAGAATAAATGAGAAACAGTAGGAGAGCTTAGAATACAATATAGTGAAAAACCCATGAATATGCATCTCTGGCTCTGTTTGTCTCAGAAGTGAATAATCATCACAATAAAAGTATTCAAGAAACTCAGAGTGGAGTAGAGAAATGAAAACTCGTATGTTACCCATCTTGATATTTTGCTCTTGGTGCAATTTCAGTATTGCTTTAACATTAAACACATCTAAATTTTTGTTAATATTGATAACTGATACTAGAAAGTAAAGAGATTTCAGCCATAAATACCATGATTTTATTCTAAATGCAGCATAATATACATTGTAGTTTAAATTAATTTGTTGTGTATGACTCTTCTGCATCCTTCTATCATCAGAGAAAATGACATAAATAATATCCTAATTAAATACTACAATAGAATATTTATTTGTGCATTGTGCTCTTATTTATTTTAAGAGTAGATTAAAAATTCTAATTCCTGTGTTATCATACTATAGATGGACGACTTTTGAAATTTTATCTTTGAAGTCTTTCTTCAAATGTCTCTAGTAGAAAGACAAGAGTTGAGCATTTCACTCTTTTATAAAGATACTAGTAAAATTTACACAAAGTTGGCTGAGAAAGATTTACAGACATACACATTTAGGTCAAAGTTAGGCATTTGTACTCTTTCTGAACCAAAATTTTTTTATCCTGCATTGAGCGGAGAACTTTCCAGTAGAAAACAGAGTTGAAAGTTAGTTATTTTTATATGAGCTGTACATAAGCACTGAGTAGTACTTATGAAAGCAAAGAAACCACAGAATGACCCAAATTCAGTTCTGTTCTGCCAGGTGTTCAAAACCCATAAAACTTACACATAATAAAAAGCATTCTAGGAATTGTCTATTTCTTTTTCTTGCTCATAAGGATTTAGGTTTTTCCCCCCTAAAGCCCCTTCTTACAGTCAACAAGGGCTGATCTATTTGCTTCTTTAAATAAATCAAAATAGTGAGTTTCAAATTCTAACAGGATGACTGAGACTTGATGACAGAAGTATAATTTCCTAGTAAAAGAAAAAATTGTAATGAAATTGCTGGAGTTGGTAGCACAAAGGACTATTTCAGACAGAATTTATTTTGGGGACAAGAATTTCATTTAGAGCATTTGCTATCCCCTAGAACCACACAGGTCTCATTTGACTGAGATGTCCTGGTGTTTTTGCAGTATGAGTATTTCATAATCAAGCCCACAGACTAATTTTGTTTTATGAAATTAGACACAAAAGGCTAAGGTGACTTTAAAATCTAGAATAAATTTATTAGTATCACAATGAAGAATCTGACATATATTACCGAATTCTGCATGAACCAAAATAATTGACAGAACTCCATGGAATCTGAAGTTGAGAAGGATCAACATAATCTAAAATTGTCTGTCTGGAAACCAAAATGTCTAGGAATAAAACAAGGTAGCTTATTGCAGTCAAATATAAATACTTGATTATGATCACTGAATCCAAGAATGAGAAAATAAAGGAACATAAAAATTCCTGCAACAACATCATTGATTGTTCCCACCCTCTAAACTCTCAAGATGCAGAAAACATCTAGACAATTTAAACATAAATATATATTTCTTGTGAACTATTAATTTTACTTATTTTTATCAGGTTATTGAACATCCTGATAAATATTCTGTAATATTCTAGGTAATTTAAGAGCATTTGGCAGGAAAAAAAAATTAGTAGGTTACAGAGGCAGTTTAATATTTCCATTTGAGTCCCTTACACTTCAAACAAATGCTTCAGTAGGGTATCAGCATAAAGAAAAAGTATCTCAATGCAAGAAAAAGCTAGAATTTTAGTAAAATGTACATCACACCTATTCATTAGGTTAATGAATTGAAAGGGAAAATTGGCCAACATCACTTGGTCAAATATCTATTAACCCCAAAGCTATGAAACTGCAGCATAGAAATATTCATGTCAAAATACTAAACTGTTAAAACTGCTGAGAACTCCTAAAGCAAATGGGTCTTATCCAGACAATTTCAAAGATTTTATATTTGAAAAGTACACTAGAAGGAATAATTTATTTTTTTCCCACGGTTCCAAACTACTTATATCTGCAGAAATCCTACTGCATGATCTGAACATTAATGGCCAAGAACAGCAAAAGGGTATGAAGGGGTCAAGCTAGTCTAAGTTTCAAATATGTATTTCTTATGAAGCCATACTCTACTAACCAGTTTATTGAAGAGCATAAAGTTGGAATTACTCCTCTTCATTTTCTTAAGGGCAAACGAGGGAATACATATGTCCACAAGACCATTGCAGAGAAATAAAATTCTATCATAGGACCAGCAGCTCATTTTGTTCTATTTAACCTGTAATCTATGAACAATTCAATCTGAGACTCCGTGATATATTCTTGTCAAAACACAAGGATAAAAATAAGAAACTGAGAAGGAAGCAAGTAAAAAAACAAGAGAAAGGGCTGTGGAAGAAGCTCAATGTACTGAATGAGAGATAAAAGAACTGCTAAAAATATAGTAGATAAATGTATGCAATGATCAATGCATGCATGAGCAATGCACATGAAGAAAAACAATATTAACTTTTCCCACTGTTATGGGATATGAACAGGTGATTACAACTCAAAATTTAGATCTTGAAATTTAGATGTTGAACAGAATTTTTTAACAATTAGATAAACAAAGATTCATTGGTCTGGAAAAGAAACTGCAGAGGGAATTGTATGACTGAGATGTGTAAAAAAATAAATAACAGAGAAAGGGGTTAAGAAACAGTGGTTCACTTGGTATTTTCACATAAGAACCAGGGGTATTGATTAGAAGTAAAAGACATAGGATAAAAACAGAGAATGAATGTGTTAGTCTACATAACAAACTGGTTCAGGAAGCATCTATGTCAGAAGTCACCAGAGATGCAGGAAATATTTCCAGAAATAATTGCACATATTTCCTCTGTTCTTGCATTCTCTTGAAGGCATCTTCTGGGAACAAGCTTTTTGGCTGGATGGTTCTTTGGTCTGACCCAGTGTAGTGAGCTGGCTGACCTTCAAGGCATTTCTCCACTAAACAGCTACTGCTGCTCATCTTGAAAACTCTTCACATCATTCCTCCAAAGCACTAAAATAGAGCTCATCTCTGTAATCACAGCTTTTATGCTCTCAATCATTTCATACCTTCAGTTTTCTGCTGAGGTCACCAACAATATTGCCAATTAATGCCAATTTGCTTCAACACCTGCCCATTAAGAAATGGATGGAACACAAAAACCTCGTTTTTGACAGAACAGTGAACAAGAATCAAGTTTTAATGACACATAATCACCACCTACCTGGGACAGCTGTGTACTGCTGATGTGGAGGAGGGCCTGACTCAGTATCCCATTAGCAATCACTGACCTATGAATGACACTGTAGGCAAGTGTTTTAGACTTTCTTAAACAATTATATAACTAATCATTATGGCGCAACCAAAAAGTCTTCCAAGAGGTAGAATAAGTTCAGAAAGTCCACTACTAACGGGGAGATGTAATCAGACATGTCTCTATAGTTAAGTTTCCACTAAAAGCATAAGAAGGAGGGAAAAAGATCCCAGCTGGCTGGGACTGTCAAATTTTTCCTCTTTTTGTGCCATATAATTTGCAGAGTTTGGGAAACTCAGTTATTTTACCTTTCTTTTAAACTGTCATTGATTTTAAATCTCTGCAAGGAAACTATCATGTCATCAGAAGAAAGTCTTTCTGAATCTTTCTAGTAATTTAATTTCCAGCTACTTCTAGGGCCCTACCTTGAAAGCAGGCACAGTGTTATTTTAAGTTGATGCAGCTTTTCCATTAAACATGGGCTTCAGGAAGGCTGAAGCTGGGTTAATTTACTTGGAATCAGAAATACTCAGGGTCACATTATTCAGCAAGATTAAACTTGGTTTTAAATGTATTTTTAATCTCATATTACAGTGTCTGCTTTGCAGAAAGGCAAATCATGCCCATCTTTGGAAGTATCCAAGGTCAGGCTGAATGGGGCTTTGACCAGCAATCATCCTGAGTGCTACCATGTGGCACATGCAGAACAACCAGCTGATCAGGCACAGCCATCATGGAGTTAGGAAAGGCAGTCCTGCTTGACCAGCCTGATCTTCTACTACAAGACTGGGTGGATGGGGGAGAGGCTGTGCATGTTATCTACCTGGACTTCAGTAAAGCTTTTGTTACTGCCTCCCACAGCATTCTCTTGGAAAAGCTGGCAGCCCATGGCTTGGAGAGGTGCACCCATCACTTGCTAAAATTTGGCTGGATGGCTGGGCCCAGAGAGTGCTGGTGAATGGAGTTACATCCAGCTGGGAGCCAGTCACAAGTTGTGATCCCCAGGGATCAGAATTTGGGCCAGTCCTGTTTAACATCTTTATTGGTGATCTGGAGGAGAGGATCAAGTGTACCTCCAGTCAGTTTGCAGAGGACACCAAGTGGGGTGGGAGCGTTATCTGCTGGAGGATAGAAGGATCTGGACAGACTCTATCCATTGTATGAGGTTCAACAAGGCCAATTGCCAGATCCTCCACATGGGTCATGATGGTCCCCTGCAGTGCTACAGGCTGTGGGTAGAGTCCCTGGAATGGTGGAAAAGGACAGGGGTGTCCTGGTTGACAGCTGAACATGAGCCTGGGTGTGCCTGGGTGACTAAGAAGGCCAGTGGCTGGAGAAAAGGCAGCTCTGGGGCATCCTTATTGCTCTCTACAATTACCTGAAAGGAGGTTGTAGCCAAGTAGGGGTTGGTCTCTTCTCTCAAATAACAAGTGATAGAACAAGAGGAAATGGCCTCAGCTGCACAGTTGCACCTGGAGAGGTTTAGGTTGGATATTAGGGAAAAATTCTTCACGGAAAGGTTGTCAAGTGTTGGAGCAGGCTTCCCAGGGAAATGATTGAGTCACTGTCCTTGGAGATATTTAAAAGATATATAAACAGGACACCTAGAGACATGGTTTGGTGTTGGACT